GTTAGTGATATGGTCTCCTCGCCCCTCACAAATATATCACCACAAGTTGAAACATGGGGCTAAAATTATCTTGTTTCAATTGGTGATGTATTTTTCTCCATCATGTTTTGACATTATATTTAACTTGATTGTTCATCTAGTTACATAGATAAGATTTTTTTGGCCCAGTTTATTTAAGGTGAATATATCTAGTAGAGAGATGCATGAATATATTTTAATAGTATACAAAGAATCATTACCATACAAAAGCTTCGATCGTTGAAAGGTACATCACTGGAGAAGTTATTGAGTTTTGTTCAAACTATTTGTTAGAAGCAGGTGTTTTATGTCACTGATCTTTCTGACAATAGACGGTCAATTCTTCTCTAAGGAAAACACATTCATGCTAGTGATGAAAATCAAGATTTAACTTTTGATATTATCGAAACCCCTTCTTTAAAAATCCATGTGTGTATTTCATTTCAAGAAAATTATTCAGATGATGTGCATGTTATTCGTTATGATCATCAAGAATTTATGGAAAAAGTAACAAGTAAATATTTTTTATTGTTTATTCATAATTTATTTTTTGTTATTATTTCTAAATGTTTTTACATGTGTACAATTAAGTTTTATACTAATAAGTATTATTATTTCAACTTATAGGTGTTTAAAGATCACACCCCAAAAGACGTTTGTTCACGTTCTACATCTTGCTTCCTTTAGATTTATGAGTCAAATGCACACTAATTTTATATGTTGGTTGTTTCCTTGTTTGATGTAATAATATATAAAAATATGTGTTATTTTGGTTTTGGTGTAATAATTTATAGTTTTAGTTCATAACATGTGTCATTTTGGTTTTGTTTCACAAATTTTGTCTGTTTTGTTACTGTTTTTGTTTCCGTTATATTTCATAAAAATACAGGTTATAATGAAAAAAATATAAAATATAAAATTTTATATTTTAAAAAAACAATGTATTTTTCCACTCTCAAACAAAGGGAAAAATGATCACCCTCAACCTATCTCCTCAGGTTAGAAATACATTCGTGGCGAAAATTTTAGCTTTTCACCTCGACTAGGATTCCAATCGTGAATAAAAGTCAATATAATGTGTTACTTTAAAAATGACAAAAATGCTATCATTGAGATTTGAACTCATGGTCAATCAACTTCACACCTCGATCAATATTCTAATTGTAAAAAAAGTGAGTGTTATTTAACCAACCTTGGCTATTAGCCCGGAGAAAAAAATAATCAAGTGAAATTTTATTCTCAACCAAGGTAATAGATATTTTTGTACTAGTGTTATAAGAGTTAATTTTTACCCTAGAAATTTAAAGGGTCACAAAAACAATACTATATCATCTTGCCTTCTCTCACCAACTATCTTTTATTTTAAGAAGTCTTAAAGATACATCATTCTAAATTTTTTTTCCGCTTATATGATATATAAAATTTACAACATCTTTTTTTTTTTTCATTTGATACAAGAAAACAAATCAATCCACCAAAGTAGAACTAGTTCTCGAAAACACCTTCATTCCATTATTATAATTACAAATGGAGAACTCCTTTATTTTGATGCACTAAAACGAATCACTATTGACTCCCTTTCAGATTTTTCACAAATTCATCCACCCTCATGCTGTCTTCTTCGTCCATCTCATCAAAGCTTTAGAGATTTAGAGTTTTACTTTATCCCAACATTACAAATTAGGAAAGTACAAGCAAACAAAAATTTATTAAAAAGAGACAATAATTACATATACTTTTTAAATGATGAACAATAATGACTACAATTCATACACACAACTAACATGTTTTAGATTTGAATGTTAAACATGACATCTCGTTTGATAATACCATCAATATATTACTTACTTTTATGTTCGACAATAATCAATTTATTTGACAAGAGAATATATATATATATATATATATATATATATATATATATATATATATATATATATATATATATATATATATATATATATATATATATATATATATATATATATATATATATATATATATATATATATATATATATATATATATATATATATATATATATATATATATATATATATATATATATATATATATATATATATATATATATATATATATATATATATATATATATATATATATATATATATATATATATATATAAACACTATTAGACATCATTCAATAATTGTGTTTTGTGGATATTAAATAAAAAAACACACACACACACACACACACACATATATATATATATATATATATATATATATATATATATATATATATATATATATATATATATATATATATATATATATATATATATATATATATATATATATATATATATATATATATATATATATATACACACACACATATGAAGGCTATACTTATACACATTGTATACTATAACAAAATGGTCTAGCTGAAAGAAAAAAAAATAGAATCTATCAAGAAATGATAAATGTCAAGTTAATGCATTCTGCTTGTATGGATTAAAACAAATACTAAAATAATGACATAAAAAATTTGAGTTTGTCATACTTTCAAATAAATTTATTCCTAACTCTTGTGACAAATGCTTACACACAAAGATGCGTGAGAACGTTGTGGTATTTCTCTGTCTCTATATTTATGACATGTTGATCATTAGCAACGAGATTAATGGAATTTTAGAAACAAAGAGGTTTCTAACTTTCACATTCAAGATGAAAGATCTTAGACTAGTTGACACCATTTTAGAAATCAAACTAAAGCAAAATAATGGGGGTTATGAACTTAGTCAAACACACTATGTACTAGTACAAACACTTATGTTTCAAGGAAGTGAATGTTCCATTTGATCCTATTGACAAGCTTCAAAAGAAAGATGGAAGAGTTGTGCCTCAATTAAAATATGCAAGTGCAATTGGTTGTCTAATGTATTTAATGCAATGTACAAGACTTGACATAGCATTTGCATATGGTAAAATGAGTAGATTTACTAGAAATCCTAATGGTGAGCATTGGAAGAACATCACAAGTATTTTTTTTGCTTATCTTTTGAAAACGAAAAATCATGGCCTTCATTATGGTAGGTTTCCTACCATACTATAAGGATATACTGATGCTAGTTGGATATCGAGTGTTGGAGATTATAAATCTACAATTGGATGGATATTCATACTAGCTTAGGGGTGAAATATTTTGGAAGAACAAGAAACAAACATAAATCACTCTTTCGACCACGGAATCATAGTCCACGACTCTTTCTTCCACTAGTTAAGAAGTTGAACGGTTAAACAACCTTCTGTTTGAAGTTACATTGGCTAAAGACAAAATTTTAAAGGTGTTAATACATTGCAATCGTAAAGCCATTTTAGCTAGATCATACATCGAAGTCTGTAATGAGAAGTATAAGCACATCGGTCTTAGACATTCCATTTGTGAGGAAATTAATTAAGGATGAAATTATTTCAGTCACATATATATGTTTAAGTTATAATTTAGCAAATCCATTTACTAAACAACTGGACAAAGATTTTGTAAAGACTACCTCAAGAGGTATGGGATTGAAACTCCTTGAGTAAGAATTTCAACTACGGTAGCAACCCAATCTAACATAAGAAAAACATTAACCTTAGATTCGATGGGTAACAACAAACTGTTGATTTGAATGTTTGTGCAACATTGTCGTAATAATGTTAACTGCTAGATTTAGAGGGTTGTGGTTTTCAAACTCTTAATGAAGTTTAATGTTGAAAATATGTATCTCAAGTAATGTAGGTATAATATGAACTTCATCTATGTAAATTTTGATATGGTTCTGTTTCAAAGTGAGAGTTGGAGTTTCTCTCACGATAAATTTAGAAAGAAGAGAATTACATGGTCATAAATAATGCTAGGTGAGAGATGTAGGCGAAGAGCCATTAAAGAGTGCGTGTAAGGTAACATTGATCTAATCACAATGAATAACATATTCAAAGTCTTTGTACCTAAAATTCCGCTTAGACTTTGTGTTGTCTTTCCTAAGGTTAAGTTCAAATCAAAATATACTTAACTGTAATAGCATTCTTTGTTTCTTCTTGAAATTGGTCGTGTCATTATTAGAACAAGCGGAAAATTGTTGTAATTAATAAAGGAATTAATACATGACCATTGGTGTGTTTTAATAATAACAAGAAAAACTTACAAGTGAATAAATGAACATTCAATGCATTGAGAAATAGTCTCACATAAATTTTTTTAACTCACTTTAATGTTCCTTATATAGAGTTACATTTATTAACTTAACAAGGAGCTAAAAGGAGAAAGTGTCACATGGATAAGTGTGGTGGTCTCAAGTCTTATACTACTCGTCTGTCACCTTCACACACACCCTCATTGGTGCCTGCTTCAAGACCTAGACCGAGGGTGTGGGTGTAGTGACGATAGTGGCGGCTTGGAAGCTCACTTGAGAACTTATTCGAATTTCGCAATACTTTAAGTGAAATAATGCAATACTTTGTAACATTTTGTGTGAAGTGATACAACGTTTGGTAAAAATGCGTGTTTCATCAAGGGTTGCAACCTTATAAAACATCACAATTTAATCTATAAATAAAGTATTTCAGATTCAAAAAAAAAACATATATAACTCTCCTCTTCAGTGAAAATTCCATATTTTCATTTTTTTTTTTACTTTCGAATTTTTGTTTATTTTATACAAACTCAAATATAAATTGAATTATCCTAAATATTTATTTATATAAACTCTAACACATTTATAAAGTACTTAAAATACTATTAAAAAAATAGTACAATGCCTTAATTCATTTATCTTACAATTTTTATCTAAATTTAATGGTTAATTTACATCAACTTACTATAGTATTTGAATAAACAAGGTCTCAACATCTTTTTTCATGTGACACACAACAAAACATCAATTCACCAAAGTAGAATTGGTTCTCCAGAACAACAAATTATTATAATTACAAATGGAGAACTCTTTTATTTTGATGCACTAGAACAGATCACTAATGACTCTCACATGCCTCCAACAGATATTTTTTCAGATTTTTCACAAGCTCATCCATCCTCATGCTGTCTTCTTCATCCATCTGCATCAAAGCTTTAGCAATTAAGACTTTCACTTAAATTATTAGTACATTATTAGTACATTTATCATTAATATAAATACAAAGTAAGTAATATTTATTTATTAAAAAATATTAATTAAAGGTAAAATAAAAAAAATAAAAAATTGTATTAATTAAAGTAGGTAGCTTCATACCTGAGCAAAAATGTTAATGACAAGAACTGAAGCACCAAATGGCAATATGCTACTAGAGGTTATTGTGAGATTGAAGTTTTCAAGCATTTCATGTATTTTGAGCACTAAGTCCTTTTTCTTCTCACAGTGAATCCTAATGAGCACTTCCTTTTTCATGACTCTAGCTTCAACCTCAAGCACTGATTCTGAGTACTTCTTTTTATTTGATGAAGATTGAGATTTCCACTTGTATATTTCTGGATTTACTGTATCATCTTTGTTTTGATTATTCTCCAATTCTTTTATTCTTTTTTGAAGCTGTTTTGTGTAACTCACAGCTTCACTGAGTACATAGCACTTGTCCATCTACAGTTAAAAATTCATATAAAAATTTATTAATGTTTAATATTCAGATATAATAGAACACAACATGTTTGTATAAGACAACTTTTCATTTTTATATTTAATTAATTCCATAATAATACAGCATTAAACAATAATTAATTCTCTATGTAACAAAACAAAAAAAAAAACAATTATTCTTTAGAAATAAGTATATAAAAGTCAATGAAAAGCATAGGTGAATTATGATTGATACAAGACAAATTTAATAAAGGCTATACCTTTCATTTCATCTAACAGTTTTTTTTTTTTTTTTTTTTTTTTTTTGGAATATGTTCATCTGACATGTTAGTTTATAATATGTTATCTTGATTTCTATTCATTGGAAAATGACAGATGAATTATTGAAATTCCCACTTTTTGCTGGAAATATTTATCTAAAATATTATGAGTACATCAGAGTTGATTATTTAACAATTTGTTTAAGTTTATATACAGACATAAACAAGTTTATAGAAATAGTTAAGTTTATATATAATTTTTAAAATAATTTTTTTTAATATTTTGAAAGTTATGATTGAATGAAGAAGCTAACCTTTTTCAAGCCAGGTATCATAGCTGAAAGTGTGATAATACTCTCAGTCAATTCTCTTCTTCTTTTCCTCTCAGCCATTAAATGATCTTGCACTGTCTCACAAGACCTTCTAAGCCTCTTTGTTGTTTCCTTCACCTTTCTTTCATCTTTCTTCAAACTTCTTTTATTTGACATTGGTTCAGTAATCGGTTCAACACTTGAATTATCGAAAGATAAAAGATATGTAGCTGGAGATCCAACACACGATCTTTCCAAAGAAATTATCGAGTTTGAACTAAAACTTTTGTGGATTGCTTCAATATTCTCGTGATCAAAGGACAAAATACTATTTGTAGGGCTAGTGACACCACCTTCAGTATTAATATTTCCTGCGGAATTTGAACTGTTGTTATGGATTTCATTTGAGCAAAGATAAGAAAAGGGTTCACATTCTGGGTCCTCAAGGATGATATCTTTGAGAAACTCTTGCTCATGAAATGAGTTGATACTTTGATTCATCTCTTCATCTTCCATTTCCTATGAAAAATATATATATATACCAAGTACTATCAATATTCAATTATATAAAGTTTGTGAAAGCAAAAACTATGAAATTTTATTTACCATATAAGAAATCAGATTCTCCAATGATTCCTCCATTTTTATGTACACGGAAGAGTACATCTAGTGCTGCAACTTATATAGTGAAATTATAAGGCAATTCTTTTGTGTCCAATTAATTCACGTTTTAGATGGAGTGGTCATGACCATACATATTTTTTATTATAAAATTAGATACGCAATTATAAAGATTAATTTTTCATTATAAAACTACTATAATTGACTGCAAAACTCTCTCTAAAAAAATTTAATATTGCCTTATAGACATGTACCGTCCAAACCTGTCTCGATGGCGAAAAAAATTCGATTTGATTAACCTCAAATTTCAATTTTAGTGTTTTTCAATTTCTAAATATGACTATAAGATAGATAAAAGGAACATTAACATCTATTCAGAATATATTTTTGTCTCGTTAATAATTTAAAATTTTTAATTTTAATAATTTAAAATATTTGATTTTGATAATTTAAAATATTAATTATTTAGTTAATAAATTAATATTTAGTTTGTATTCTATTATTTAAAATATTTAAAATATATATTTGAATTTTTAAAAATAATTTTAATTTATTATTTTTAGTGTTCGTTAAAGTTCAAGAAATATTATGAATCGTGAAAATTATTTAAATATAAAAAAGAATAATTTATATGCAGAGATGAATATAATTGGAGATATTTAAATCCGTTTGAAATGGATTTTAATTCATTATTTATCTTGTTTGGGTTTGGGATAAGAATTAAATATTTAATTAAAATTTGAATTTGAGTATGAAAAAAGATAAAACGTGTGTTATATTGTCATGCTTACTGCTGCGTATTTAGAATTGAGTTTGAATATCGTCCCATCTAATTATTATAACTATTGTTGAGTAACCAGAGTCACTTGAAACTCAAAGACTCGTCCTCATATTAGGAGATAAAGTTATTTGAGGTGCGGTTTGGATCGATTTTTAATTTAAAAATTTATTCGATTTAAAAATATATTTATTTGCGGTGCACTTTTAATTGATTTTTAGTTTAAAAATTTATGTGATCTAAAAATATATTTATCCACATTTTGGTATGATTCTGAATGATTGATTAAAAAATTTAACCAATCTTATCTAATTTCATGCGATTTAATTTAAATCGGTTTTTTTCATCTAAATTACAAATTATATTTTTTTTGTTAAAATTATAAAACAGTTAATAAATATTAGATTTGATATAATAAACTATATAGTATATTACGAATCAATATTTAAAAAAAAAAAGAGAATGATTGATTATAGTTGAAACAAATGAAATAATAAAAATAAGTAATTTAAACTAAACTAAATATTAAAAAAATAAATATCATTATATAATAAATTAATATAAAATATTATATTAATAAAAATAAATAAATATTATATATATATATATATATATATATATATATATATATATATATATATATATATATATATATATATATATATATATATATATATATATATATATATATATATATATATATATATATATATATATATATATATATATATATATAATTTAGATTGGTTTTAAAAATTAACCAAAAATTAAATTTAAACTAAGCGATTTTTATAAAACGATATCTAAATACATTATATAATATTCAAGTTTTTACGATTTTCAATTGCTTAAACTAATTTATGATTTTTATTTAGATTAATTTAAACACCCTTACTAAAAGTGACCACATGATAACATAAATTTAAACACCCTTATTAAGGAGTGACCACATGATAAAAATAATAAATGTTTTCTTTGTCATATTATTACAAACTCTTATTTGAAAATTATACTTTGGATCTTAACGAATCTAGCTAAATAAATATCTTATTTAAAAGTTAAATAAAACTATCTCTGAGGCGGTTGGTAGAACCAAAAAATTCTTTTCCTTTTTGGGATCAAGGGTAGAAACATGAATTCTAACAACTAAACTTATAAAAAATAAAATAATGATGATAATACTAATAATCTAATCACAATATGGTCCATCTAAAATAGTTAATAAAATTATATTTCATGCGGTTTATATTGATATGTCAATGGTGTACTATAACAATTTTTATATTGGAAAAAATATTATTTTGGATTGGGCTTGAGGTTGGTCCACTGTCGGGCATGGTCCAACTCAATTCTGCGTTGGAGAAGGCCCAACACAAAGGTTCAATCCACCATCACTGCGGAAAGGAACGTTCCTCACACATCTTTCTCACGCGAGAACACGCCATCAACCAAGAACGAATACCACGTGCGGGTTTTTCCTACTTCCACGTAGGATCCTGGAAGTCATCTATTATGGGCCTTGCGATCCAGCCCAAAATAGATGACTGTTGGCCCAGCGCTGAGAGCACATTATAAATACCCTCCCCCACAGGAGTGTTAGGTATTCTAAACTCACTCACTTTTTGTACTTGCTCTCTCTTTCACTCCCTTTCTCACTTTGCTATCAGAGTGTCTTACAGGCACACCCCCTCCTCTTCTCCACCACCGGTGAACTTGAAACTCACGACGTGTTGCTGGCTAATGATCCTCTTTCTGATCCGGTAAGATTAGTGGCACCGTCTGTAGGATCCATTTACTCCCTCGTCTTTTCTTTCTCTGAAACCAAAAGACCAAAGCAAACCTTCAGCCTCCTTCGATCATGGCCAGTCAACACACTAACGACAAAGTCCACGAAGCTACCTTCACCACCTTCGCTGCCAGCGACGACCACGACAACAATGTGGCATCCTCTGCTGAAGAAGGTGACCGTAGGGACGTGCTCACCGCCTCTCCCTCTCCCGACAATGCGGCATACAAAGTCGTCCAGCGTTTCGAGAGTCCAACGATTTTTCAACCAATTCATGTGCCTCCTAACGCCGATCCTACCACGGTGACCTTGTTCGAGGAAATCAACCAAACGAACTTGATGATTTTCCAACAGAACGAACGCATCAGAATACTGGAGAAAGAACGACAATCGCGCTCCCCTGCAGAGACATCGGTGCCTAGTTTCTCGTAGCACGTCCCTACGACGACGAGAAACCCGTCCTCACTCTCCCGCGGAGACACCAACGGGACGAATCTCAAAGCCTCTCACCGCGACAACCTGGACATCGGCCGCAGCTAGAGAGGCCACAAGTCACGATCACCAAAAAGCGAGATCACAACCCTACCTGGCTCCCAAAAGGAGCAAATCCGACGAGTAGCCGGAGAAGCCAAAAGGTCGACCAAGGAACTCACCGCGCCGCAAAAGAAGCCCCCAGCACGCCCACTCTCTGTCGCGCTCACTAGTCCGAAGCGACAAAGACGACCCCCGCGTTCCATTGTCTCGGGCAATCATGGAGACCCCCATCCCCGTCGGGATGGAAAAGCCAGCAAGTCTGGCGACCTAATGGCACGACGGACCCGGACGAACACATCGAGAAGATCGATGCGATGCTCGACTACCGCAACATCTGGGGTGCCATCAAGTGTAGACTTTTCCCCACGAATCTGAGGAAAGGTGTCATGGCGTGGTACAAAAGCCTCGCCCCAGAGTCCATCACCTCCTGGAAGGACTTGAAGACACAGTTCACTAGGCATTTCACCGCCTCCCGACGACACCCAAAATCTAAGGCGTTGCTCGAGGCCATCATTCAGGGGAAGTCATCTAGATCTCCATGATTGACCAGATGAATATGTACCTGCTCGAGCGAGAGCTGCGTCCCTGCAGCGACTTCGCCAAAGCAGTTGGCATTGAGACACCTTACTCCCTATACACCCTTCTCCTCAAAGCCCATGCATACATCCAGTATGAAGAGAGAAAGACCACCAACAATGCCCGTGACTCGCAGCACCAGGAGGGTACCAAAGTTGCAAAGTATTATGACACCGCAGCTCCCCGATGTGGCGGGGAAAAAAGAAGAGAAGATCAGCTCCACGATTCCCGCGAGCACCGCGGACCAGCTGGCCACTTCTCTGAATACACACTGCCGACCACTCTCTACGAGCGCATCCTTGCTAAGTGTATAAACTCAGAATTCCAGTAAGGTGGGGTCCACTTTCCCAGGCTGATTATTCCCAAGCCCAATGTCGACAAGTCCAAGTACTGTCGATTCTACAGAAGCCACAGGCACGTGACCAAGGATTACATCCACCTCAAGGATCTGATCGAAATCCTCATCAAGGAGGGACGCCTGAATCAGTACACCAACAGGAGCAAGGCTCCTCGACAAGATGTCCGCGAGGCAAAGAAGGTCGAGGAGGAAACACCTCTCTCTGATAACACCGACCTACAGACCGCCCTTTGCATCTCTCGGCATGAGGACTTCTACGTCCCCGAAATGGTCGACACACCCCTATCTGCACACAACACCTGGGAGAAATTCTCCTCCGCCATGGTCATATCCGACACAACATTCAACATGCTCATCATGGGGCCGGTGAAAAGGAAGTTCAACGAGTTGATCGACGCGAGATCCAACCAGAACGTAACCCTCGACAGCTTCCAGGGGAAATCAGATCCCATCACCTTTTACCTCGAGGAGTTGTCGGGAAGTGCTCTTAACTCCATCATTTCTTTGCTTGTTAGAGTGCAGATGGCAAACTTCGACGTCCGTTGCATCCTGGCCGACCAAGGGAGCTCCATCGACATAATGTATGCTCATTTGTTCACCACTCTCCAACTTGATGAGAGCCATTTGACACTGTATGTAGGCTCCGACCTGCAAGGCTTCAATGGTACAACTACTAAGCCTTAGGGCTACGTCGAGCTGCTCGTCACTTTCAGCGTCGAGGAAACTTTCAGACAGGTCAAGGTCCACTTCTTGGTCATAGAGTTCACATCTCTATACCAGTGCATTCTAGGGAGACCAACTCTAATTGAGCTGACCGTTGTGCCATCCACGGTCCACTTGAAGATGAAGTACTACACGGCCAGGGGTCGGGTTGTCACTCTTCACGGGGACATTGAGACCGTAAGAAGATGCTTCGAAGCAACAACAAAGGGGCTGAACTCAATTAACATGATTCCCAAGACCGCCAGTAAGCCATCCCTCTCTGAGGA